CAAACGCCAACAAGCATGGCACCCAGTTTTTGCCACTGCCATTCGCGTGACCACCACCACCAGTACCAGCGCCAACATTTGCGCGAACCACATTGCAACGCGTCGCACCAGTTACCACGACATGCCCTAATTCCCGAGAGTGCTCACTCACCACCAGTGCCAGCGCTGACCGTGCATTTTCCTATAACTTTGCCTCGTCCAATCATGTTGGCCTTGGTCTCGTTCGTCCGTAGCCAAGGTGGCTCAGGGTGGCCTCAATTGCCTTGCGGGCCATTGCTCAAGGGCAGAAAAAAAACGCTTCGACCCTGGTATACGAGGCGCTGTGCTCTGAAACTCCTGTGGGCTGACAGGGTAAACCCTGCGTGATGCGCCGCGCCCTGGCGGCTCTAGGCTTTGGGGCCCCCAGGAGGTTTACAGGCCACGCGCTTGTAATCCAGGGTAGGTCGTTTTTTTTTCATCCCTCGAAGTGCTTTCGTAGCATATGAACAAAGTTTCGAGGGTTGCTCTCGCATTGCGCACAGGCCTACTCAAGTTCCAAACTGCCGCTGCTGACCTCAATGGCGCGGCCCGGTCCAAGTCCGCGGCCAAGGCGTTGATCGAAGCGTTGTCGGCCGAGTTCGAGGTGCCAGACGGGAGGTCGAAGAAGCGGGCTCGAGATTCCGAGGCCTGGGCAAGCATGGGGAAGAAAACCAATCATTGGAAAACCCAAGCGAGGCGCCACAGAAGTGAACTGAAATGTCTTGTCAGGGCCAAGCACGCTTGGAGGACATCGAACCTTTGGAGGGTGAAAATAGCCACGTGTCCCCCGAGCGTGCCATGCCAGACGTTTGAGAAATTCTCCCGTGACTTCCCAATCGCAGAAGTCCAGAACGCGTCAGCAACCTCGATTGCGATAACAAGGGATGCGTTTGCCCAGGTGCTGAAAACAAATCAACCACGATGTCATTGCTGCGCAGGCCAAGGACGCAAGTCGCACCCTGAACCGCGATGGGCAGGAGACGTCTTGTTTCGTCGTGGTGCACGTGCACGATGAGGCAGCTATGAAAGTGAAATCTTTTGATTTCGACGGGGCTTTTCGGCCTGAGCTACAGAACAGAACTGTCGGGCGATACTCCAAGGTGCAAAATCAGGCGGTCTGCGTTGATTTTGGACAGGCGCGGGTGCCAGTGCTCGCCGAGCTGATGGGCACGTCCGTCAAGGACGCGCCCACGATTGCAGAATGTCTAATCCAGGTGTTCGAGAGCATTGCCCGTGCCATCAAGGATGGGTGCCCGCGCGCCACCGTCCGCATCGTCCACGTCGTCATTGGCGACGCCGTTGCCACGAACGAGGCGGCTTGCAAACGGCTGTTTGCTTTCCTCCATGCTGCGGAACGCCAGCTGGGGATCATATATTCTTTGGTCGTGGTCAAATGCGCAGCTCATCAGGCAAACTTGGTTGTGCAGTGCGCCATATGTGGCCGATGTTTACAGGGCCCGCTGAACTCAGACGCACTTTGCGCTGCCGCTTCCAGGGCGTTTAAGTATGTGATTCCGGAGCGCACGGAAGAAATGTCCGCGACCCTCCGGGCGTCCATATTGAGCCGAATGCACATGGCAGGGGACGGGACGGATGCCGCGTCGCAGGAGATGCGCCGGCGTTCGCTTCAATTGCAAGAGCTCTACGGCCACGGCGTCATACCACCATCGTTGCTGACGATTTTGAATCGAAGCGTCCTGGCTATGGAACATTGCTCCTCTGAGGAGGCGGATAAGGAAAGCGTGTGTGGTGACCTTTTTCAGATATTGCTTCCCCTGGTGCTCAAGATTCAATCGAAGCCTATAACGACACGTTTTTTCTTATTTGCGCCTGCTGTGTGGGCCCTCCTTTTGATGGATATGTTGGGGTTTGGCAGAGACTTGTTTCCAGAGCAGAAGGGGCGCCTTCGGACCCGGGGCGCGAACCGCATCAAGGCAATGCGGGCTTTTTTCTGCCATCCACAGACCTCCTCGGACCTGCGGAAAGCGTCGCTGCGTTTACAATTGAGCCACCACGCTGTCAGCATGGCAAGCCAGAGCAAGCCGAAGGTGGACGACCCAAGACCACACTTCGTGAGGATTGCGCAAGGAGACATCCAAAAACACACGGGGGAACATCTGAGGCGATTGTTGCCCTTACTGTGCGTGGACGAGAAGCTCGTTGTTCCCGCATGTTTGACGGCTTTGCTTGTGACGCAAGCGCACATTGTCATGCGGTTTGATATGTATGGGCGCTTTCCAGGGAAGTTGTGGATGATGTCTCGGCGGCACAATCCCATGGGCTACTCCCGAAAGTGCGAGGAATTCTTGCAGGTGCCCGACGACGACTTAGACTTGGGCTACTCTCTGGCGTTGAAGCGGGAGGCCTGGCGCTGCAGGAGCCTCAGCGACGCAGCGATGTGGTTGATGGCAGATGAAGTGCAGGAGGAAATCGACAAAGTGCTCGGTTCCATGTTGGCCAATAGTCTTGACGCGGAACGAAAGATTCATCAGGACAGGGCGCCAGACCATGCGAAGGCGAGGTCGTTGGCGGTAGCATCGCGGAATCAGCTGCTCCACCAGTACCATGTCGAGAGGGAGCTTTTCCTGGCCTGCAGGATGCGGGCGGCCAAACAGGCGTCTTCGTTGAAGAGATGCAATATCTGGTCGCTGGCTCGGCAGAGATGGCCGCACTTAGTCCCTCGGCCAAGGGGCTGTCGTTACGGTGATGATCCGCTGCGGAATGGTGTTCTTTCTTCGACTCTTGTGCACGAGGGCGATGAGGATGCGTTGCAGTCACAAGTCGAGGCGCACACAGCCGACCTGGAAGCGGAAGTCGCAGCTCGACAGGGTGAGGCTGCCCTCTTGGCCCGGCTGGCCAACGCGGCGCACGCTCCTGTGACGCAGCGGGACTGGCTCGAGTGGCTAGACACGAACGACGGTTTTTTTAGGCACTGTCTTCGAGAAGCCCCCGTGGAGAGGCAGCAGTTTAGCCGCAGAGTGACGCCGAGGGAGGGCCTCGCGGCCGTTGCCCGCCTGGGACCGAAGATTACGAAGGAACCGCCGCTGTGGGAGCGCAAAATCGCTCACCTACCATCTGGGTATGCGATGCTGCTATGGCAGCGCGGCGCCTCGGAACACAAGGTGTTGTGCTTCTTCTGCTGTCTAAACGGAGAGTGCCGGTACCTGCCATTGCTGAATTCCCGCCCAGGGTGCAATGAGTATTTCCTCCCTGCCCACACCGACTACGTCGCTGGCTTCCTCGGCGCCGCCTGCTTGGCGAAGACGCGCAACGTGCCCCACGACGATGCTGCCGTTCGGGTGTACACGTGCGGGATCGACGCGAAGGTCGCTCCGGATGGTATGGCCATCATGTGCGTGGCGCCCCTGCTGGAGCACCGCGCTCCCGTGGTTGTCCCGCGCGCGCAGGCAGACGCCGGCGCGGCCGACGCGGGCGACGCAGCAGTGGGCGACGGCTCGGATTGCGAGAGCCTGCTGCTCAAGATGGAGGGAGGGGCAGAGGAGGAGGCCGAGGAACTCGTGCACGACTTAGACGAGCAGGGTGCGGACGACGACGGTGACGACAAAGAGGGCGCCGACGGCGGCTCTCCTTCAGACAGGGCGCTCCCTGGGACTTGGACGCTGTTCAACAACGGCTACTTCGCGCTGTCAGAGAACCCGGTGAAGTACGGGGATATGAAGATGAGCGTTTTGAAGCGGTGGCACGGCGAGGACTTCATGGGGAAACGTGTGCAAAGATCGAAGGCAGCCACGCTCAAACACCACGGCGATGACGCCCTTGCCAGGGGCAGGACCGCGCTGGTCCTTCGCGCTTGGATGTTGTACAGGGCCCAGGTTAACAAGTTTGCCGAGTCCAGCCCTGCCAGAGCCACCTTCTTCTTCAACGAGCTTGAGAAACTGAAGGCCGACTTGCGGAGGATGGAGGTGCCTGGTGGCGGAACGGGGAACGAGGAGGCAGACGGCAAGATCCGGAAATGGGCCCCCTTGGCAATGACTTAGCAGCGAAGGCTGCGGTTTGGCCTGTAGGCGGGGCTCTCCGAACGTAGACGCGTGGGCGCCCGGAGGAAAACAAGGGCGTGGGGGAAGGGCTTGGGGGCCTCCTTCTGACGCAAGATCGACGCAGGATCGACACAGAATCGACACAACATCGACGGATCGAGACAATTTCGACTCAAAGTCGACAAATCGTCTCAACATCGACACAGCGTCGACTCAAAATCGACGCATCGACACAGGATCGACACAGGATCGACACAGGATCGACACAAGATCGACACAGGATCGACGCAGAATCGACACAGGATCGACACAGGATCGACGCAACCACGGAGTGTCGACGCAGGATCGACACAGGATCGACGCAGGATCGACGCAGGATCGACGCAGGACCGACGCAGGATCGACGCAGACTCGGCGCAGGAACGACGCAGGATCGACGCAACAACGGGGTGTCGACGCAAAATCGACACAGGGTCGACACAGGATCGACTTAGGATCGTCACAGTATCGGGCGCTAGTCTCGAGTATCTAGATGCCCGAACTCGGTATGCTACCAGAGCTGGGTTCGAACAAATATTTGTATTCTGCCATGTTTTAAGAGATTATGATGGCCTTGATGAGGTAACTCGGGCTGCTGATAAGCTACAAAGCTGTATGGTGGAGCTGTCGACAGGAACTAAATCACCAGAAGCGTTAGTCTCAAGTATCTAGATGCCCGACCTCGGTCTGCCTCCTGGGTTGCAACGCAGGATCGACACAGGATCGACGCAGGATCGTCGCACCTGCAGGCGGGCCTACATCCGACGTCGTCATTTGTTCAAAACGTCGGCCCCTGGAGGTCTGGAGGCCTTCCCTGGGACCGAATTTTCGTACTGAGTCCTTTCTTTTTGACGGTCCCAGGGCCCTGTGAGGGCCCCCAAAAGGCCGATAATGACGAACAGCCTCCCGTCATGATGTTTTCACGACGCCAGGATGTGTGGCGTGGTGGGTAACACGCTGCCGCGCTTTGCGTCTCAAGCCAGAGACTTTCGAAGCCTGAGATCATCGCTCGATCTTGCGCCACCGGCCGCCATGGTGAATGAAGGACCGCCGACCCCGGAGGCGGTCAATGCAGCGATGGAGGATGTGCCCACAACGGGCCCCCTGGCGAGCAGCTACCGGCGCACCTTGCGGGAGATGAAAAAGAAAGGCGCGGATGTGGACCCCGATGACCCTGTGCATTTCAAGCTCTGCGGGGCCTTGCAGAAGCTGGGGCTCACCAAAATTGACATGCGCACGTTCAGAGAGTGGGCCGACAGAGTGACGCAGTTCGTCAAAGAAGAACGGGAGGTGTGGCTGGTGCAGAAAGAGGCTTTCCCGGATGTGGGGAAGGACAAAAAAGTCAGTTTCTGGCTTCTCGGGCCCAGCGAGGCCCAGGGGGTCGACCACGACAGGGTGTGGGTGTTGGATGCTCACGCCCCCACCGGGCCGTACATGCGCGGGGCCATCAGGCGCACGATCGGTTGGAAAGCTACAAAGGACAGGGGCTCGAAAAAACCGCGCCTCGAGGATGGCGACGCCCATGCTTCGGGGCAGAGCTGCGGCGCCGAAGTCGCCGCAGGGTCCGGCCCAGCGGCGGCCCCGCAGGGCATGGCACCGGCCCCGGCGGCTCTGGCAGCGGCTTCGTCGGGCATGGCGCCGGGGGGGGCGGAGGCGAGCACATGAAGAGGGATTCGGAGAAATCGTTTGCTGATGAACTGTCCGTTGAGTCTAGGTATTTCTTTCAATACCTCGCCGATTGGATCTTGAAGGGGAAGACGCACGAGGTGATCGGCCACTTCGCGCCGCTCTTCCGCGAGGCCAAGGAGCTGCACCCCGCCCTGGTCCCGAAGATTGCGCAGGCGATCTGCAGCATCGGCGAAGTGGACCTCCTGGGGCAGTTTTCGGGCTCAGAGAGCGAGCTCGAGAAGTACGGCCTTCCGCCGAAGCACATCTCTGCCCTTGCTGGGAGCCCGTTCCTGGCTGGCTTCCGGAAGGCCCGGTTCGAGGCGCAATTCGCCCTGGCGAAGACAGCCAGCTCGTGGCGCGGCGCGGCGCCGGGCCCGGCTGCGGAGCAGCCCGGCGGCGAGCAGCCAGGTTCTGCACGAGCGAAGTGGGCGCGGAAAGAATGGGTACAATGCCCAACAGCGGATTTGGTTCATTTTGAACAGGATTCGCTGTCCACGCCGCCGCGGCCTGCGTTCTTTCGAGAAAGAATGCCGCCTGCCCAACAGCGGCCGCTGTTGGTTTGGGACAACATTTGTTGTTGGGCATTGTGCCCATCCTTTCCGTGCCCAGTTCGGGCGCCCGCGCAGGCGGCGAGCAGCCGGGCGGCGAGCAACCCGACGGCGAGCAGCCCGGCGGCGTGCAGCCCGGCGGCGAGCAGCCAGGCGGCGAGCAGCCAGGCGGCGAGCGGCCCGGCGGCGAGCAGCCAGGCGGCGAGCAGCCAGGCGGCGAGCAACCAGGCTCTAGGCCTCCTAGGTGGGGTCGGACTAGACGGGGACGAAGGAGCGCGCCGCATCGCCGATGCATCGCCGATGCGGCTCGATGTGGAGCCCGACGTGCTTCGCGTCGACGTCGCCGATTCATCGCTGACGTCGACGACGCATCGCTGGCGCATCGCCGACGCATCGCCGATGCATCGCCGATGCGTCGGCGATGTGTCGTCGATGCGCCGCCACCCTCTGGCCCCACCTACTCCGACCCCATCTAGGAGGCCTCTACAGGCGGCGAGCAGCCAGGCGGCGAGAGCGACGGCTCGGCCGCTTTGCAGGCGGGCAACGCGGACAGCAGGGCCAGGCTGGAGCTGATCATCTCGCTGCTCGGCAACGCGCAGGCGGACGAGCAGCAGAAGAAGGAGCTGGAGTTTAAGGCCATGATGACGAATTCGCCCGGGCCCAGGCTGGCGCATCTCATGAAAATGGCCCTGGGCGAGTTCAGTTTGCTCGAGGCGTGGTTCCCCGGGGGCCCGGACCAGGTGGTTGGGCTGCTGCTAAAAGGCGTTCGGTACAAGGATTGCGCAATCCAGAACGTGGTCAACGCCATCCAGCACGTGGTCAAGGGCGGCGCGCAGGAATCGTTGGTGACTCCCGTGGTTCGTGGCTTGGGGGCTCTGCACGTCCGCCCGAACGAGCTCCAAGCGAAGGAGCCCAAGGACATGGTGGAGCCAGGGATGGGGCCCCTGGACAACCGCGAGGGCCGGCATCGATCCCAGGAGCAGCGCTCGAAGTTCATGGCAAGCATCTTCGCGGAGGTGGCCTCCCTCCGGCTCGGCGCTGTTGGCTTCACCAGCAACGCGCGGGATTGCACGGGCATCCCGTCGAAGATGTTGCAGGAGGTGCACGCCATGGCGAGCTCCGCGGTGCCGCTCGTCACGCCTGACATGCCGGCCCACGCGCTCATGTGGTGTCACCGCCGGGTGGTCGAGGAGCTGGAGGCCAAGAAAAAGTCGCAGCAGGAGCTGGCCAACGAGACGGCGGGCGAGCCGAAGCAGGGGGTGACCGAGGCGGCGAAGCCAGACGGGGCGCCGGCGACGGGCGGCCCGGGCGTTGATCGGCGGCGCGCTGGGGGGGGGCGGGGGAAGGGGGGGGCTTCTGAGAAGGCGCGGTGTTTCTTAGAAACCCTTCGAGTGCTTAGGGCTCCTCAGAAACACCCTGCCTTCTAAGAAGCCCCCCCCCCTTCGGCCCAACCCCCTCCGCGCGCCGCCGAGTTGAGGCGCGTGCGCCCCAGTCGGGCGCGACCGGGGGCGGGGCCCCGAAGAAACACCAGACGGAGCCGGAGGTCATCGCTGTGGGCGACATCGTGATGATCACGAAGTCCCCGAAGGAGCCTCTGTTGTGGCTGAACAAGAAGGCGCGCGCGGCGAAGCTCATCCCGGGCCAGGGCCAGGCGAGCATCCTCATGCTGGAGGGGAGGAAGAAGGACGAGAAGACGACGAGGCTGATTGATAATCTGAAAAAGGTGGCCGCGGAGCCCCCGGCAGCGGGAGGCGGCGGGGCCGGCGCTGCCGAGGCGGGCGCGTCCGAACCGTTCGCCGACGCAGCTTCCGAGGCGACGGCGGTGTTCGGCGCGGAGCCGCCTTTCGGAGTGGACGGGGAGTCCTGAGCGAGGATTCTGGGCGGCGCGCCGAGGAGTGCATTGGGGGGGGGGCGGCGTCTCATAAGGCAGGGTGCTACTTAAAAACCGGGAAGCCCTGCCTTGTAGGCAGCATTCTGCCTTTTCAGAAGCCCCCCCCTCCCCCTACCTTGTCGGCGCGCCGCCGAAAATAGAGGATTGCGCATTGGCCCCTGGTGCGCGAGGTAGCGCTGGCGCCTATGGCGCGCCAGCAGTCCCGCGGCCTCGAGAGCGGGCGCCCCGTGGCAGTGTTCGCAGCGGATGTGCGGCGCAAAGGATCTCGGCTTGAGCTGTGCTTGGCGCGGTTGCCCCGCAGAAAAAACACCGAGGCCGGCGGGGTCCGGCGGGCGATGGCGGAATAAATTCAGGCGGCGGCCGGCGGAAGCAAGCTCGTGTTCCGATCAACCGGAAGCCAGCGGAAGTAATTGAAATCATCTCCAGCGGCTGTCTTCACGACAGCCGTTTTTGGCAGCCGCGGGGCAGCTGCCCTCCCCGCCGAGAATTTTCTGGGGGTCGCTTCCGTTGGCGCGCGACTTGGCTGTCGGTGGGCATAGTTCGCCCCCCAGAGTTTCGTCCGCGTTCGCAATGCAGCTTTGACGTTGCACCGTCCTGGGGGCATGAGGGAAGGTGGGCACTCCTGGGGTCAACTGGTGCGACGAACCATCCTGGGGGCCATAATTTCGGGCATGCTCGCAGGACAGAGGCCTCGACGAGGCCAAGGGGCGCCCCATTCGGCACCCGCGGTGCGGCGGCGGAGATGAAGTCGATGGGCCGAGGAAGATTCCCCAAACAATGCTTGCACCACGTTGCTTACACAGCGTAGCTTGCACCACGTAGTTTGCGCCGCGCAGTTTGCGCCACGTAATTAGCTTGCGCCTCGTGGATTGCGCCGTGTGATTCAAACAGCGTAGCTTGCACCGCATAACGTTGGTAATTTCTTTTGGGGGGGACACATTGGCTGCCAACATGCCGTATCCAATGTGCTGAAACCACCGCCGCCGCCCCGGCCAGGGCAATCCTGGGCCGAGCACTTCGGTTCGCTCGGTTGGACCCGTGTCAAAGGCGATGTAGCACAGGTGGACGTTCTTGTTGGTGATGTCGATGGTCGCGACACACATCCTCTTCTGATTCACCGACCTGCTGATTCACGCCAGCGTTGTGGGAACGTTCATCGTGACGTTCGTCGGGCGGGACGTCATGCACCCCCGCGCCCCTTTCCATGGCTCGGCGCGGGGGCGGAAAGCCTTCCAAAGCCAGCCGTTGGCCCCATGCGTGTGGCCGCGCAGCCACGGCCACGGCCCCGGCCGCGGCCGCGGCCACGGCCACGCAGGCACCTCGCAAATGCCTTTTCCAGGGCTGGCCGCAGGCACCTCCCCAGTGCCTTTCCTGGGCAGCCCGCAGGCACCGCGCAAGTGCCATGCCCAGGCGCCCGCAGGCACCTCCAAAGTGCCTTTCCTGGGTCGTTCATTGCGCGGGAGCTCCCATCTTCTCGGTCACGTGCTATTTGCTTTGCTTACATTAATCACGCCGCTGGCGTGCATTGAGTGCAGACACACAAATGCCACGCCTGCAGCCACATGAGGACTTCGAATATCTGCTGCTTCGGAACCCCTTGGCGGGGCAATGGTATCGACATTCATTTCGCACCAAGATGTGTTCTGAGGACGTGGCAAGCTTGCATCTAAGACGACTACGGCGAACTACCGTCGCCCCCTGCCTTTTAGAAGCGATGGTGTGGCCGAGCGTTGCGGCCCGAGTTCGGCCAAGCTATCGGGCCGTGCGTTCCCCTGGCCGTTGTGGAAGCCCTCCGGGGAACACTTGGGAGAGGAAGGGGGCCGTCGAAAGGCATAGCAAGAGGAAGCCCCCACAATTTTCAACACATATGAAATAACTGTTGGTTTTCGTTTTTTTTTTTGGGGGGGGGGTTATCCTGGAGAGCGTCTGTGGCCGTTCGGGGCCCACCTCGGGCCGTCATGGAGGCGCATTGAGCTATCTCGGTATCTCTTGGGGGCGTTCTGGGCGTTTTGGAGGCGCCTTGGGTCCCTCAGTGGGGCCATATTGGCAGTCTTGGAGGCCGCCTGGGACTGCCTTGGGGCTCTCTTGGTGCTTTCTTGGGGCCGCTCTTGGGCCGTCCTGGGGCCATTTTGGAGGCCTCTCGGGCGTTTTTGGGGCAATCTGTCTAGATGGCCTCTGGGGCTGTCTTGGGCCGTCGGGGAGTATCGCAAAGTATGCGAACCCCCAAATCGTTGAACAACAGTGCGCCAGGGGGTGGCGTGGGGGGGGCAGCCGTCTAAGAAGGCAGGGGGTATCTACGAAGGCAGGTGTTTTTCGAAACTGGCAGGGTTTTAGGAAGGCTTCTGAGAAGCCTCGGGACATCTGTGAGAAGGGCGGTGCCTTTTATGAAGTTTTTGGCTTTTTAAGAAGGCCATCCCCGCCCGCCACCCCCTCGGCGCGCCACCGAATATATAGGAAAGAGCGCGACTGGCATCGCAACTTGTCGGGAGCGAAAGGGCGCGGAACGCTCTCGTTCGAAAGTTCGAGGACCTACCCGCGCCGAGCTCGCGGGGCGCCGCCGATTCGGGTTCGACGCAGCGTCGACGGACGTTCGACACAGCATCGACGCACGAGGGCGGCGACTGGCTGTGGGAAGGTCCCCAGAACGAACATGTAAGGGCTGCCCGATGAGTCCAGGCTTTCACGCGGTCGGCACCGCGTATGTTCTCAGCATCGGTCGCATGGCCGTGCGTGCGGTGGACGTCGAAGGGGGCTGCCTGGCGTTCCTGGACGACACGTACTTCGTGGGCACCGCGGCCGCTGTGTTCCGCGGCTTGGATGCCTGGCGAGCCCGCATCGAAGCCCACGGGATGAAGCTGAAGATGTCCAAGACCCAGATCTGGTCCCCAGATCCCCACGCCGTCCTGCCGCCGGAGTTTGCGGAGCACGCCCGGTACCGCGTCCAGAAGCTCAAGGCGGCGGGGTCTACCCTGGCCTACACAAACCACGACGTGGACGCCGACTGGAGGGGCGTCCCGCTCACGGACTTCGCCGCCCCGGAGGACCTTGACGAGGGTGGCCACGCGCCGGCTGGCGGTGCCGGGGCCGCCCCGGGTGCCGCCGCGCCACTCCCCTGCGGCGAGGCCTTCCTCCAGAAGCAGGACCGCTACTTCCGAGAGCTCCTGGCGCTCCGCGCGCATGGGTTGTCGGCCTTTGACGCCTTCCAGTTGATGCGGATCTGGTCGAGGGGCGCCTGCGTTCACATCCAGCGGGCGCTCCCGCTCGCGGCGGCGTGGGGCCGCAGGGTGGATGACGGAGCGGTCGCCTTCGTCGACGCTCTTCTTGGGGTCACGGCGGCCCCCCGAGAGCAGATCTTCATGAATGTCAGCGACGGAGGCCTGGGTTGCGGCAGTGCCGAACAGCGCGGCCCCGCTGCCCTCCTGGCGTCCTGGGAAGCCGTGATCCACGCGGCTGCCCAGGAGCTCCGAGAGACGACAACGATCGGCCTCTTTCGGCGGTGGCCGGGCCTCGGCCGTGCCCTCTCGGCAGCGGACGAGGAGCAGGGGCGGCTGGCAGGAGGCCGTCGCCCCCAGGGTGACCGCTGGCAGGGCCTTCTGGAAGGGCGGAAGGGAAAGGGCCAGAAGACGTACACCCAGCACGTACGGGACCGCGCCACCAAGACGTTCTTGGCCGCGCTGCCGGCGACGGCGGCGGCGGCGGTGCATAGTGCCTCGGGCAGCTCAGCGGGCGCCTGGTTCGATAACTCCGAGGGGGGTTCGCCCCTCGCCGACCGCGCGTTCTGCATTGCGGCCAAGAGGCGCATGCATCTGCCGCTGCTGCAGTCCGAGTGCACGTGCCAGAACCGACCGGCAGCGCCCACTCGTGCGATAGCGCAGGCCGGTCCGGCGTGTGGCCGCACGGTGGGCGCCCGTGGCGTTCATGCGCTCAACTGTCCCAGGGGAGGGCCCGGTGCGCCGCCACAACGCCATCCGAGATGCCGTGGCGCTCTGGCTGCGCGGCGTGGACCACCACGCCCTAGTGGGGCAGGTCATCCCAGAGTGGTACACGGAAGAACAGGGCGCGGCCACATTGGACGTCGTTTACCATCGAGGTATCCATGGCCGAGTATGTCTCGACATAGCCTGGTGGACGAGGTGGCCGCGGCCCAGACGGGGCGGCCGCGTCAGGCATCCCTGCAGCGCAGAGAGAAAGTGAAGCACCGTAGGTACCCATTTTCTGGCCTGGTGCCCTTTGTTCTCGATGTCAATGGCCGCTGGGGGCAGAGGCGGAGACGTGGCTGCGCCGTGCCGTTGGGGAATTGCCCGAGGCCGAACGGCCCGCAGCACGCTCATCCCTGCGCTCGGCAGTGGCCAACGCCCTGCAGGGCCAAATCGCTGAGCAAGTTGCCCTGGCGACGGGGGACGTAGTCGGATTTCATCATTCAGGCCAGTCAGCCGGAATGATGAAACCCAGCAGGCCCACAGCATCGGATACTTCTATGCCCTCGGGGAGGCTACGTGAGTCCACACCAAGATCTCGTGCCTGCCACTCTCAGATGTGCTGTATCTGTAGGTCTGCTTACGCCCCAGCTGCAGCAACGTCGCCTTGCCCGCGAGCGCGGTGCGCCCACAGCGGTACCCCCCTCGCGCCGCGGCACCTGTTGCTTTAGCCTATGCTCTGCGCGCGGTCATCTGTGTGCCTAGTCGCTCTGGCTTGCCAATTGGCTTGCCATCTTGGCCTCTTCTCACGCCCCCTTGCGCTCGTGAGCCTCGCTGGCGGTGCTGCATGGGGTCGCCCCGTCTGCTGCCGCGACGCCGCTGGGCGCCTAGCCACTTTGGCTTGCCATCCTGGCCTCCTCTCGCGCCTTCCTGCGCTTGTTGGCCTCGCTGGCGGTGCTGGGGTCGCCCCGTGTGCTGCCGCGACGCCGCTGGGCGCCTAGCCATTTTGGCTTGCCATCCTGGCCTCCTCGCGCGCCTTCCTGCGCTAGTTGGCCTCGATGGCGGCGCTGGGGTCGCCCCGTGTGCTGCTGCACCGCCGCTGTCGCTTTACTTTGGGCCGTAGGGACCAGCTGCCCTCGGATAAGCGCCTGCCGCTGCATGCACGTCAGACCCGCCCTTTCACCCAGAAGAGGTGCCCGCTACATACTGGCAATGAGGCAGCCACAAGGACGCTCTTCCCAAGGTGGTTGAGCCGTGGTGATGTGGTGCACGAGACCGCCAGTAGTAGTAGTAGTAGTAGTAGTAGTAGTAGTAGTAGTAGTAGTAGTAGTAGTAGTAGTAGTAGTAGTAGTAGTAGTAGTAGTAGTAGTAGTAGTAGTAGTAGTAGTAGTAGTAGTAGTAGTAGTAGTAGTAGTAGTAGTAGTAGTAGTAGTAGTAGTCGGTAGTGGTAGT